CCCCCCACCGCTTCAACTCCTGCAGCAATGCTGACAGAATTCATGCATCTATTTTTCAAAGCCAACCTCTGGATATGATGCTGAGCACGGGAACTCGACTTCTTGGGTCGACCATGGCAAGGCCTGTTCTGAGTGGATCCTGTTCTGTTAAACCGCTGTATGGTCTTGGCTACTGTGCTGCAGCTCAGTTTCAGGGTTTTGGCAATCTTCTTATAGCTTAGGCCATCTTTATATCGAGCAACAATTCGTTTTTTCAGATCCAGGGAGGGAAAAGGGCTACTTGGGCCCAATTTGGACATTGTTACTTAGGGGTGTACTCACTTTTGTTGCCAGCGGTTTAGACATTGATGGCTGTGTGTTGTGTTATTTTGAGGGGACAGCACATTTACACTGTTATACAAGCTGCATACTCACTGCTTTACATTGTAGCCAAGCTACAAAAGATATACTACAGTATTTATTATGAAATGTGAGGGAGTGTACTCACTTCTGTGATATACTGTATGTTGATTATTTAAACCAGTGGTCTCCAAACGTTTCACAGTGAGGGCCATATAATACATTTTCCATATTTTCATGGGCCAAAGAAACATGTGTTTGTGTGCACGCAATCCCATACATACAGGAATGCTCCTTCCCTCCCCCCTGCCCACATACATTCCCGCATAAAAAGGCAAGGAGGGCTGGATGTGGCCTGCGGGCCATATTTTGGAGACCCCTGATTTAAACAAATAGTGCAAAAATAATGCTGTAAAAATACTTCTAAATAGGAAAGCAGATGTTAAAAGAGTTAAAATGTAGACTAAGAATAAAATAGAATTTAGGATGAGCAAAGCACATACAGTGGTGCCCCTCAAGACGATGATAATGCGTTCCATTGAAATCGCTGTTTAGTGAAATCATCGTCTTGGAATGCATTGAAACCCGTTTAATGTGCTCCAGTGGGAAAAATAGTCATTGTGTGAAGATCGCTCATAGGGAAGCCATTTTAAATTGCTGCATTGCGAAGCATCGGTCGGAAAACACCTTAGGGAAGCCATTTTGCGGAGCCGCCAATCAGCTGTTAGAATCGTCCAACAGGTCACAGCGAAAAGTGGCTGCCGCCGCTGCAAGAGAAACCAAGCAGGAGAAACTGGGGACAGCGCTAACGAAAAAACTACCAACGAAAAGCCACTGCCGCTGCAGCAGCAAAAAGGCAAGGAAAAGCCAAAGCTAATAAATAAAGAGCAGCAGACGTGGTGGTGGTGGTGGTGATGGTTGTAACAAAATGAGCAGAGCAGAGTAGCCGATAGGCAGTGGGAGAGGCAAAGCAGGTCCCTCCAAGCAAAGGAAAAGATCCCCAGTAACTCAGGAGCCACCCAGCAGCGTTAAACCACCGTGCGGCTTTCCTCCCTTGCCACCCACAATTTAAAGAGAAGCCTGGAGTGAAATTACGCCCTAAAATTTAAAGCCTAGGAAGTCAGGACAGTGCGCTTCTCCCTGCTGCAGAAAACAGCCTCGATATACCCACAAATCAGAATAACCTAGCCCAGGGAGGAAGCTGTTGCCCCTCCGCTCCTGTTGGTCGATGCTCCGCTGACCAGCCTCTGTTGCCACATTTGTTTTTCTGCAAAACACTGCTTGCTCGTGAGTAGGCACAGCGATTATCAGCAGTGCTCCACACCACAACTCTCTTTCCTGCTAAGCTGCCCGAAAAGAAGAGGGTATTCCGGAGAGGAAAGCCTCTTTTTAAAAAAGTGTCTGGCAAAGCACGGACCAAAACGTCGTATAGCGAAATTCCCCCATAGGAAACACTGTTTTGCAAAGTGCAATGTCGGTCACAAAACCTTGTTGTCATGTGCATTCGTCGTTTTGTGAGGTAATTGTCTTGCGAGGTACCACTGTATTTCAAAAGGTCAGGTAAATCTAAAGCATAGATTAATATATTTAGTATAAAATGTAGAGTGTAAGTCATGTATACAAATGTCAGGTGCTCTTGATAAGCAAGGATTGTACATAAACGTACTTCTGTTTTCATAATTTTTAAAATATATCTTAATAACATTTTAAAAATGTAAAAACCCGAGAGGGGTGAAGTTCCCCACACAGTCCTTTGAGACTCCCAATTTTAAAAAAGAAATATGTGGTTGGTATTTATTTCTGTATTTATTTAAATGTCTCTGTCGCCTTTCTTCCATAAAGGGTTAAAGGGCGGCTGCTCATAAGCCGTACTATTTACATTTCTAAAATCACCTTTGTATTTTAATTTTATTGACCCAGGTTCTATATGTGCCTGATTCTGAGCCTATTTCTACAGCAGCAAAGCTGGCTTCCTCAAGTCCTGGTGCTGCTGTTTCACCTTCATCATCAGATGCAGAGTATGATAAACTTCCGGTAAGACTTTCAGAGGTCTATGTTAATCAGAGTTGCTTATAGCAAGAAGCAACAAAGAATCATATTGCATTTTGAAGACCAACACATTTATTATGGCATAAGCTTTTGAGGAAACACATTTTTCATCCAAAGAAGCTTAGGCCACAATAAATTTGATTTTCTGGAGAAGTGTCATATGGGCTGTTATGATTCTGAAGTGTTGGTTATTAATTTTTAATGCATTAACTATCTCTGACATTATTCAGATATTGGTCTATTTGTTTCAGTGCCAGTATGTAAGCTTTCAAATTATACAACTCGCTTCATTCAGCAGAAGGTGAATTCTTTATCTTTTGGAGAAGTGGAATAATTCTGGGTTTATATGTTTGCACAAGAGGAAACGTGGAAGCTTCTGTGGCTAATTCATAAGGTGCCTCGTTGTGTGCCCAGGAGCTCATCAGTTAGCTGCAATTAGCCATAGCAGTTTCTATGATCCCTCTTCTGTGCCTGTAAAAAAGGATTTTACCAAGAAATATATCTCATTCTGTGAAGAAAATACCAAATATAAATGATAATAAAGCTTATGGGGTATAGTGACTTAGATCTACATCTCTACTATGAGAGTACTGTTTGCGCAGTGGGACTTTTAATCCACACCCTTTTTACTACAATTCTTGGTAGCTCTTATCCTGAGGGTTCCAAACTTTGTGTGGGATCAGTCATGGGGCTGCAGATTTAGGGGACAATTGCAAGAAATGAGATGTTGGAAGTAACAGGTTACAAGAATATAGTTAGTTGCTTTTTTGGATAAAGGGGGAATAAGTTATATTTCCAAAGCAAAGTAGCAACTAGATTGAACCTATGTGATTTATGTAATGAGCAACATATTATAATTACTTTCAAAGGTTACTTTTGAATATTACTTATGGATATTTTAGAGGCATTTTGACAGGAATCATTCCAGTTCAATACCATTCTCTTAGGAATTTTTGTTAAGTAAATACATTTTTAAAAGCACGGAGTCATGCAAGGAGCAATGTAACAGTTACTTTTACAACAGTGTAGGGAATAATGAACATATTCGAAGTAATGTAAGAGAAACAAATTACGGTACTTTCTAACTGGTAGAACTCACACACCTTGCATACGTGGATGAGCAAGTTATGATCTAAGCCATTATTATATTAAAAATTGTTTGTATTTTTAAAGGATGCAGACTTGGCAAGAAGAGCCTGTCGGCCACTCCACAGAGTCCTATCATCCACTTCAGAGGAAGATGAGCCAGTTGTGGTCAAGTTTTTGAAAATGAATTGCCGATACTTCACCGATGGGAAGGTAGAGCCTTTTGATATTTCTCTTTACAACGGATGAGCTCGGTATGTTATAGGCCGATGGCAGTGCAGAGTGTCAGTGCAGGGAAGAATTGTTACTGGGCAGTGGCAAGAATCCCATTGGTTTCATGGAGTGCAGATGAGGAAGAGTGTGAACAAGCCTACCTGTCTCCCTTGCTTCTTCTTCTAGATGAGACAGTAGTTGTGCAAAGGATGAGATCCGAGTAAGGAAAAATTGCTGCACAGTTGCCTTTCTATGGGTGATCTCAGTTGCTTGAATTCCCCTCCTCCCTTTTGCAGTTTGAAGACAGGGAGCCAAAACAGGGCAGATATTATATTTATCGTCTTCCATTTAATGGAGAATTGGGGAAACCTTGATCCTTCAGATGTTTTGGACTAAAATTCTAATACAGTGGTGCCCCGCTTGACAATTACCCCGCTTGATGCTGAAATCGCTTAATGATGAGGTTTTTGCAATCGCTATAGCGATCGCAAAATGATGTTTCAATGGGGAAAATCCGCTTTACGATGATCGGTTCCCTGCTTCGGGAACCGATTTTTCGCTTCACGACAATCTTTATAGCTGATCGTCGGGTTTTCAGAATGGCCTCCTGCTGTTTTCCAGACCTATTTCCGGAAGACAGCGATCGAAAATGGCTTCCCCTATGGAGGATCTTTGCTGG